ACACTAAGAGGAGAACACGAATGGGAGAAATAGGGAGAGAAAGGAAACCTAAAACATGAATGTTGTTGAGGAGTAAGTGAAGTAATCTTAAATTGGCAGAGGCCACTGTAAGAAAGGGACCAGGAAGTAGTGAAGAGGCCTGGTAGAAATGAACCAGTGTGGGTGCAATATACAAGAGCATAGAAGCAATGCTAAGAATCTCTCTGTATAGTATCTTTATCCCAAACTAGCAAAAGCGCTATGTCTTTCTTATTATCTCTTAAGTTTTCTCTTCAGCAAAGTTGGAGAAGAAGAGAGTGGAGCAGGTTCTGCCTGGAAGCGGGGGACTTGGGGGGAGGTGGCACAAACAATGTGTACACATATAAGTAAATGTAAAAATGATAAAATAAAATGAAAAAGAAAAAAAAAGCCAGCCTGGGCAAATAATTCACCATACCCTATCTCAAAAAAAACCCAACAAACAACAACAACAACAACAAAAGAAACACAAGTCTGGCAAAGTGGTAGAGTACCTGCCTAGCAAGTGTGAGGCCCTGAGTTCAAACTCCAGTACCACTTTAAAGAAGGAATGAATTTCATTTTGGTTGGCAATTCAAATTGGATTTGTAACAGCTCCCTCAATTCCACATTAAGAAGCTCACAAGATTTAGTCAGATACAATTTCTTGGTCCTGAGAATGCAGGGAAGGTATATACAAGAGCCACAACTGACTATTAATGACTGCATGGGCCTGAGGGTGGAGTTAAGTCATGTACTTGGAGTATTTATTATTCTCCCCAAAAGCTATGCTCTTTCATGCTTCAAATCCTTCGAGTTCATGATTTCGTCCACCTGAAATGCTTCCTTTCTGATCAAATTCATCCTATGAGGCATCACAAAGGTCTCTGCTGTAAAGTGTATGTAAAGATCTCCAGTTACTTGTGTAAGTGCATGAGAATTCATCATTAGACACGTCTAAGGTCGTGTCCTGATTCTGGTACACACTACTCATGTGGTCCAGAATAAAATACTCTCTCTCTCTCTCTCTCTCTCTCTCTGTCTGTCTCTTTCTCTCTCTCCCCTCTCCTCCCCTGAAGAAGTTGTGCTCTTCACAACTTAGGGTCCTCATACTTACCTCTTTTTGTCTCTCCAGACTTTTATTAAATAAAATAACTAATGGATTAAATGGATTAAAAAACTAATGCACTCACCTGCATTTTACAAAATTATCACCATGATATATAAGCAAATATAATTATTATTCAGTCAGAAAAATCACTTCTTTTCACTCTCCAATATGATATGCTGATATAGAAAATCTGATGACTGAAATTCATTGAGGAAATTGACAAAACATAATGTAAAAATGGGGCAAAACAGAAGAGTTTATAGATTATTAATTGCCTGCATGAGTCATAGCAGAGCACCACAGGTTGGGTGGCATAAAAACCAAAAATTTGTCATAGTTCCGGGGGGTGGGAAGTCCCAGATCAAGGGGTAATCAGGGTTGTTTCTTTCTGAGACCTCTTTCTTATCCCTGTGTCCTCACATGGTCACCCCTCAGTGTGAATCTTTGTCCTAATCCCCGCTTCTTATATGGATGCCCATTGTAAGAATATTTAAAGCCCTGTCTCCAAATGCAGTTACATCTGAAGTACTGGAGGTTAAAATTTCAGCATAAAAGTTTGAAGGGGGCACAATTCAACCTTTAAAGTAGTTCAGGAAAAAGAAAGGGTTAATGGACAGCATGATAGCACCTCTGGTTGAAACCAGTTGTCACTATTTCCACAGTTCAGCTTTCCCTCAAAATAGAGTATAAACCCCCAGCCTGGCTCACAAAACCATTCATAGTTGGTCTGACTTTCCATTCCAACCAAGATCCATCTATTCTTCCTTTTTGTTTGAGACAAATTGAATTACTTTCAGATCTCAAAATGTTTCATTTTTCTGTGGGGTCTTTTTACTTGCTACCTCTCTCTCTGGAGCAGTCTCCCCTTTACATTCTGATTTTCCTGGTATATTAGTCAAAATGGACTTTACATCACAGTGCTAAATTCACCTTGAAATTATACTGCTTCCATAACGGTTTATTGCATATACACAATCCACACTTCTGATTTGGTAACTACTCCCTTCCATGCAATGACTCAGGGACCCTGTCTATTTCTATCCATCACTTCACATACTGATTTAGTTTTATTGCTGACACAGCAGGAGAAAAGAGTGAAGGGAAATACCCTGCATGGCTTTTTACTACTCTTCACCATAACGATCTGCATCACTTCCTCTTACATTCCACTGGCCAGAATTTGTCTTCCTTTTTTGTCTCAAACAAAAAGGAAGAATTGATGGATCTTGGTTGGAATGGAAAGTCAGACCAACTATGAAAGGTTTTGTGAGCCAGGCTGGGGGGTTATACTCTATTTTGAGGGAAAGCTGAACTGTAGAAATAGTGACAACTGGTTTCAGCCAGAGGCTGGGGAAAGTCATCCATCTACCTCAGTGCTCAAAACACAGAATGTTTCATCCACACCTGGCAAAATCATCCGCCACTAAACTGCTTTTGGTATTCCCTGAAACCCACAGGAGTGTGAGTACTATGCCTGTCTCTTTTCCCAACTCTGCATATTAATGGTCTTTTCCCATTATGCATCACAACTGTGTGAGCTGTGAAGCCTGTGGACAAAGTGAGCCAGTTTACCTAACTCACAATATATCTACCACACATGAGATATTTTATGACTATTCATAAAATCAAGTGAGGTAATAGTATTCAGTGACAGAAAAGTAATATTATTGAGGATTATACAGAACATTATTTAAGAGCAAGATATTTTCAAGATGACTGAGTAAACTCCATTTTAACTAGAATATTATTCTTATAGCTTTTAAAGACATTTTATATTTTATAAGAGCAGTAAGCAGCACTTGCTAAGCACTATGGGTGAATGCTGGTCAAATTTCTTTATCACTACTAATGCATGTCATTATAATAATATGCTATGATAACCTGTTTTGGTAAAAGGTCACAGAGAAATTCTTTCAGGCTTCTTTTTCATTTTTGTAATTTGGTTTTTTTTAATACACAAATGACTAAGTATAGATGTATAGTATATAACACGATGCTACAATTTTTACGCTGTATGATGAGTGAAGTTAAGCTAACGAACACATACATCACCGTACATACTTATATTAACCATAGCACTCTTCTTCCTTGAATAAAAGTGCTTTCAAAACCTGGATGCAGGATAATAACCTTCTGGGTTGAAGGAGGCCTGAGGAACATCTAGTTCCAGTTCTTCCTGGTGGTGATGATGATCACAATGAAGATATGAGCTGACCTTGTTCTCTGAGTGATTAATAGATATTCATTTATCTGTTCCTTTGAACTAAGTCATGACTAGAGCCCTATCACTAGGCACCTATTTTTTAGAGAAAAAGCTTAAAAAGGGAAATCACAAGAGAGCTATTTTACATGACAGTTATTGATAACGATAGTGTACTTTGAAATTTCTAAGAGTAGAATTGAAGTATTCTCACCACATAAGAGAGAAGACATACGTTAATTATCTTGATTTAGCCTTGATCCATTCTGTATTTTTGTAGCCGAATACCACAGACTAGATAATTTATAATGAAGAGAAATTAATATCTCATAATTCTGGAATCTGGGAAGTCCAAGATCAAGGCACTATATCTGACAAGGGTCTTCTTGCTCATATCTCACACAGAGGACAAAGAAAGCCAGAAGGAGCAAGGTTTGTCCTTACGTAACAAGCTCCCTCACAGATCAGCAGCTTTAATCCACTGATGAGGGCAGGGCCTTCATAGCGTAACTTCCCCATAAAGGTCCTACCTTTTTAAATTTGTTTTCTGGAGATAGAGTCTCACTCTGTTGTCCAGGCTGGCCTCTAACTCACAACCCTACTGCCTTGGCTCCTGAATAGGAGGGATTGCAGGTACATGCCACCATATTATTTCTTTAATTCAGACATAGTAATTGTATATGTTTTGGGGGTACAGTATAGCATTTCTGTATGCTTTGCAACATGTAATGTTCAGATCAGGGTAATCACCATATCCATCACCTCAGACATTTATCATTGTTTTTACTGAAAACACTCAAAATTCTCTCTACTTGCTATTTTGAAATATTCAATTAATTATCAACTTAACATAAGATAACACAGTTATCCTACTATGCTACAAGGGCCTACCTTTTAACACTATTCTGTTGAGGATTATATTACCAACAAATGAACTTGGGAAAATACATTCAAACTGTAACAAAACTATTCCACGATGTGTACGTATTTCAAAGCAACATGTATAAAATTAATATGTACAACTTTGCCAATTGAAATTAACATTAAATGAGCTAAAACGGTAAGTCACTTCATCGGGGTAAAGGGTAAGTAGGATAAAGAACTGAGATTCAAGTGCACATCAGTGTGGCAAAGCCACTGTCCACCAAAACTTCAAGCTCTTCCCTACCCCTGGTCACAGAGTATAGATTTGTAGCTAGAAGTGGCTTCCCAGTCAAGAACTACATTTCCCAGAACCCCCTCACAGTTAGCTGTGACCATATGAGTGGGCTCTAGCCAACAAAATGTGAGATGAAGTGATACATACCTCTTTTGGGTGTGAGCCATATAAACCTAAACCTCCCCCAACAGACTCTGTCATGCCCTTTTTCCTATTCCAGTTGGGGGCTAAAATGAGAAGGATTACAGGACGACTTTGGAAGCCATGTATGGAAAATAACAGAGCCTCCTTCAGCCTGATTTTGGAGGACTGACACTCTTCAAATCTGTTTGCTCACCCTCTATCGACATGTATGGGGGAAATTAACAAATACTGTATTAAGCCTCTGATATTTAGAGTTTATTTGTTACAGCAGCTAATGTTACCCTATCTAATACCATTCGTTGGACTTTTAATTACTAAATAGGCACTTTACTAAAAGTAAAGTCTCATTCAACATTATACAAGAGGAAAGCTGAAAAAAGAATTCTTGCTTTTTCTCCTACACCACCACTGCTAATTAACACCTTCCTCCTCATCGTTTCTTAGGACAAGATAGCTAGATTTGATTGTCAATAAAGTAACTTGATTAAATCACCTACCTTAGGCTCAGTTCTGTTGATGCCTGTGAGGAAGAGGAAGTGGGCCAGGAAGAGGCAGAGAGAAAGCTGCAGATGGAGTGTGGTGCCAGTATTCTGGATAGGCCGGCACAGGAGAAAGGTGAGTGCTGCCAGAAGGAGGCACAGCAGAGAGAGGCTCAATCCCACATAGGTGATCACAGTCAGCACACGGTCCTCCTACAGGCCATCAGAGAATGTATGTACATTGTGGTTTCCAACTTTACATTAGAACTATCAGGAACAAAATCTCAATGAAGGCTGGCATTCTTTTCTCTGTCTTGTTCCCTGTTGTTCTCCCAATGTCTAGAACAGTTCCTGGCACACAGTAGGCACTCAAGAAATATTTGTCAAATGAATAAAATGAAGCGTGATGTGAAGCATGCAACACTGTGGTCATCACATTGTTAAATGTTCGATAAACGGGAACTCAAAAGAAATAGGGGGGAAGTTAGGTAAATTTCTTTCTTATCCTAGTCATTGTTGGAACCTGGAAATCCAGGGGACTAGTCTATGTAAGTGGTGATATCCAGTTGTCTTCCTTCTGGTCTGACCAGAGAGATTTGGGTATAACTTGTCATCCAGGGTAGCAAATGTTTTCAATTATTGGTCCTCTTGTAACTTACCACTATACGGGCTGTCAAAACAATTCCCCAATGTTTGAGAGCTTTCCTTATTGGCTTGAGCTCATGCTACATGTGCTTATGGAAACATCAGAGAATTGACACCATTGAAGGCAGCTGAAAATAAAGAACTGAGGCCATATGGAGTATAAATACCCCTGCTCCCTCACCACCCAGTTATGGTGACTCTGAGGTGTGTGTTCTACACTGACTCCCAGAGTCCCCAGAGAGAATAAGCTCCACTATCCACAGTGGTAACTGCTTTGATAATATTCCCCATCTTCCCCTCTATCCTTTCCCCCATTTCATTTTCCTAATCCCCTACTGGAGTCTCTTAGAATCACCTCTCATGTAAGCTACTACCAGTTGACTCCTTAACGTCTTTTTCTATGATAAGATAAGCTCAAGATTTCATGCAAGGGACCATGAATCTTGGTACCTTGGGGGTCAGAGCCATGAGCACAGCAAAGCTGGACAGGTGAAAGCATTTGCATGTGGTGTAAGAATCATTGCTTCTCACAAAAGAGCAGCCCTCCATCGACCAGCTGCCCCCTTCCTCTGATCCTTCCCAGTACACACAGAAATGTTTTACTCTTGGATCACCAGGCTGAAAAGAGAACAATGTGAAAATGAATCTGTTCCTGGTCTCATTATTTCACCATTATAGGTTAATCTGACATACTGCACTGCATCTGATGCAGTGTTTATTCTTCATTTATCCTTTTATGGCCATCTCAGTGACTTGGTATTGACCTGTATGAAATTCCTCATCCAAGCTCCTTGTCACTGACAAAACCAATGAGAGCCACTGGCAAGACATCGCTGTGTGAGAAAAGACAGATATCAAGTGTCTCTGCCAAGCCATTTTGTGCTTCAGCTCCTCCTCAGCAAGAGGGTGATCCCTGCTCCTCCCTGCCTCCAGCTCCCACCATGCTCAATAATATTTATCCCCCTTTCCCTTTTTAGGTTCAGTGTAGAACAGGTTCCTATCATAGAAGTCCATGAGTACCTTGGCTTTTCTTTTCTTTTCCAACTTTATGGATGTGTGATTTAACAAATAAAAATTGCATATATTTAAGGTGTATGATGTGATGGTTTGAAAAATGTTGACATTATATAATAATTACCACAATCACACAAATTAGCTCATCCATCCCTTTGTAGTGAAGTACTGGAGAATCTACTCTTTCAGAAGATTCCAAGTGTATAGTACACTATTATTACCATAAGAGTACATTAGACCTCCTGAATTTATTCATCTTATAACTTAAAGCTTGTGTTCTTTGACCAAAATCTTCCTGTTTCTCCTACTTCTTTCCTAGTCACCACCATTATACTCTCTGTTACTATGAATTTGACTTTATCAAATTCCACATGTAAGTGAGATCATGAAATATTTATCACTCTGCGTCTGGCTTATTTTACTTAGCAAAATGTTCTCCACATTAAGGTATGTTGTCACATAATGGAAGGATTCCTTTCATTTTTGAGGCTACATAATATCCGAGTCCCACCAAAAAAAAAAAAACAGTGTATTTTTCACATTTTATTTTTCCATTCATCAATTGATGGACACAGTTGGGTTGTTTTTATATCTTGACTATTATGAGTAGTACTTCATGAACATAAGAGACTGAAGATGTTTCTTTAAAATCCTGATTTCAACCCTATCAACTGTATTTCCAGAAATGGGATTGCAGGATCCTGTCATAGTTCTATTTTTAATTTTTTGAGGCATTTCCATTACTGTTTTCCATAATCGCTGTATTAAGTTATATTCCCACTGACAGTTTCCAAATGTTCCCTTTTTCTACATCCTCACCAATATTTATCTTTTGAGTTTGTGTTAGTACTATTCTAACAGATGGGATGTGACATGACATTGAAATTGCCTCATCATTACTTATCAGTTCTCTTACCTGACAAGGATAAGAGAAGGGAATGATCAGATTTGGGTTTCATTCCCTTCTGGAAAGCTGACAAGAAACCCCTCCCCTTTTAGTCCCTACATAGAAAACCAACCCTGGGTTCTGCTCACCTGAGTATGTTGAAAGGTCAGGAACACTGGTTCAGACAGGCCAACTTTGACTCTCGATCCAATGGTGCCACCAACAACATGAGAATTCAATTTTATTCCCTGAATCCCTCTTCTATTATTAAAAAAGGATACATTCAAAAAGTTCCCAAGAGATCGATAAGTGATGAGCGCAACTACTCTCTCATCTGAGAAAGTAGAAGAGAAATAAGGTTACAAGGTGTCTGCAGTTTAAATTGTTATACACTCATGACTTATGTAGAATCATAAAGCGAACATAATTTATTTTTGAAATCACACCTGGAAACTCCTTAAACTGCATGTATAATAGAAGTACACACTACAAGTAATCTGAGGTGCAAAATATATACATATGTGTATATCATCTATGGCCCTCAAAACCTACAATATTTACTATCTAGACTTTTACAGAACAAGTTTGCCAACCTGTTGAATAGAGGAAGGCTAAGTGACCATTTTAAACAGGGTGTTCATAAAACACTTCTTAAAAGAAAGGGTGATGGAGGCAATGATCATCTTGCACCATTGTGTATTATGTTTTCAGACCACCACGTGGAAACAAGCAGGCATCACCTGTTCCTTGTCAGAAAGCACATCAACAGATCCTTTTTCTAACCTCAGTGTGTGGATCTAACAAATCCTTTTTCTCACGTTCCTTATGAGAGTTCCCCTAAGTTGCCCTCCCTAGTTGCCTGCTCAGGGGTCAGGAAAGATCTTTTCATTCCACCATGTGGAGTTTCCTTGCTTGTTAAACTTTGTGAGTCCCCAAGTATTGGCCCATTCACCTAGAAATGAGACAATGTCCTGGAGAGAATTCATCTTAGATATATTACCTCTTCTTTTAGTTTCTTTGAAAGCACCAGCACAGTCAATAGCCATCGTGTTGTTCCCAGCTTCCAAGAGAGTCTTATCATCACACCTCCTGGTTTCATAGACTGGAAACATTAGGAAAGTGAGTCTGCTGTGCTTGATTCCTAACCTTAAGAAATTCTTTGCCAAGCTCTGTTTTGGGGAACATTCCTTTACACACTTTTCACTATACTAAAGGAAGTTCAAAATGTAAAGGGAGCTGGTTTATTATACTGTCCTTTGTTATGGTTTGGACATGAATTATGACCCAAGAGACTCATGTGTTGAAGGCTTGGTCCTGAACCAGTGGCACTATTGAAAGGTGATTGGATATGAGGGGTCTAATGCCATCAGTGTGTTAGTCCATTGACAATTCATAATTTGATGACATTATCAGAAGGTGGTGGAAACTAGGAGGTAAGACCTAGCTGGAGGAAGTTGGTCACTGGAGGTGGCCTTTGAAGGGTATATCTTGCCCCCAGTACCTTCTTCTCATTCTCTCTCTGCCTTCTATGCACCACAAGGTGAGCCTCTTTGCTCTACTGCATGCTCCCCACTCTGACAGTCAGGCTACTATGCACAAGCCCAGAAGCAACATAGCCAAGTGACCATGAACTGAAACCTTTGAAACTGTGGGCCAAAATAAATCCTTCCCACCATAAGTTGATTTGCTTGGGTATTTTGTCACAGTGATGAAAAGCAACTAATATGTCTCCTGAACTTGTATTTTGAAAGAAGAGCCCTTCTCTGGTAGCATGTTCACATGGAAAGTTTTTTTTTATCATTTGGGAATTAAGAGGCCTGGACTATGCCAGGGCTTTTATGGTGGTCATGAGAAGTCCACCTAGAATCTTACCTATATCAAATGTAAGATTTTCACCCTTTGTTGGAAAAGCAGAACTCTCATTCAGTATAGACATTTCCACATGCTGAAGCATTTGGGTGGTGAATCTTGCAAAGTCTTTTTTGCTGCCATTTTTACTTACAACTCCCTTTCAAAGAAATAAATGCAATTAGATTGACTTTCACTGGAACTTAAGAAAACAGGTATATGCAAAAGTCTGGTTAGGTGAGTCCAGAAGGCAATATGAGGTGTGAGGTGAAGTGACATTTTAGATACTTGATACCAAGTCTTTGCATGACAGTTGATGCATCATAAACCCATCCAGAGTTACTCAGTCTCCATGGACATCTAGGACTGGACTATGCTTGGCTGTGCTCCCACAGCCATCACAAGCTGTTAGAGGATGTTATCAGTGTCCTTGTTCTCTATCAACTAGAAGTCATTATCACACTCCCCAGTCTTGACAACAAAAATTATCTCCAGATATTGCCAGGTGGCCTCTGGAAAAGAGAATGAAATGTTCCCTAATTATAACTATTCTCATCTAAAAATCATTAGGAGTCAGCCTAGTGTTTGAACAAGAGAATGATGTGGCTAGACTGACCAGCTGTTCCCCAAACCCAGGTTTCACCCCACTCACCCAAATGTTCTCTTGGGTCCGTGTCTCCTTCCCCTCGTTCTCTGTGAGGAAAAAGTAGCCATCAAATGGGATGTGGGAGAAAGCATTCTGGCTCACACTCATTCTTCCAAGCACTCGCAAGTTGGATCCTTTCTTGGTGCTTCTATAGGTCATTCTAATTCCTCTCTAACAAATCCAAAATGCATTATGCAGTAGAATTTTAAAGAGGAACTAGGACAGAGCTTCCATTCAACAGTTCAGTCACCAATCTTTACTGACCAGCTATTGAAAACCATGCAGGATTCTAAACCACACAGATACAGGTTGTAAGACAGACAAAGAAAGTTCCCTTACAGAATTTGTGATCTGGCCAGAAAGTCATTAAGAAATTACAAGTAAGTAGTTAAGTTTTGCAGTTAATGATCATATTAAACAGGTTGAAATTATGTGACAGTATGCAACAGAGGGCCCCAACACACTGGGGGTACAAGGAAGTTTTCCCAAAAAAAATCCATGTTAGATGAGTTAATAACAGAGAAGCAGTTGTCTACATATCATTATGTATAAAGTTCCTTCACATACACTATCTTATCTATAGGATTAAGGAAGGTTCTAGAAGACATGTAGCATAAAAGCTAATATTTGTTGGATCTTCCTAGGTGCCTAGAACTGCTAAGTATTTTACATGCATTAATAAAGGTAGGTGAGCTATATTCATTTTCCAGGGATGCTCTGCTATATTATCACAAAATGAATGGTATGAAACAGTAGAAATGTATTTTCTCACAGTTCTGAACATTTAAAGTACAAAATCAAGGTGTCAGCAGGGCCTTCCTCCTCTCACAACTCTAGGGAAGAATATTGCCGGGCCTCCTCTGGTTGGTGGTGATTGCTAGAAATCTTTGGCATTCTTTGGTTTGTGTCAATATAATTCCAGTCTCTGTGTCCATCTTCCCTCTGTATCTCTGAGTCCAAGTTTCCCTCTTTTTATAAGGTCACTGGTTATATTGGATTTAAGGCCCACTCTAATCTTACATGGACTCATCTTGACCTGATTACATCTTCTTAAGCTCTATTTCCGCATAAGATCGCAATCATAGGTCCACGTGGCATGAATTTTAGAGGAATATTATAGGAATAATATTCAGGCCAGTACACAAGCCTCTGAAACCTCTCTCAATGATCTTTAGGTCTGGGTATTTCCCTCCCCCTTGTATAACCAGCTCCTCTTTACTGTGGACTGAGTGCAGTGACTCATTTCTAGCAAACAGAATGTTGCAAAAACTTACAGGTTATCATTTCTGAGATCAGGTTATTAAATACTAAAACTTCACTCTCATTCAAACATTCTAGATATTATCAGGAGCACATAATACAGCAAACTAGAGAAGCCTACATCTCTGTGAAGTGAAGGCTTCCTCCCATAAGCCAAGAGAAAGAAACTGAAGGCTTCTATCCAACTGCTTTCAAGATACTGAATCCTGCTGACAACCACATGAGTGACCTTAGAAGCAAATTCTACCCAGTAATGTCTTCCGATGAAGCCTGGGCAATGCAGTGATTGCACCTGTTAGAACTCCAAACACCTGGGCCCCAGCTAAGCTATTTCTAGACTCCTGATCCACAGAAACTATGTGATAACACATTTCTGTATTTTTATGCCACCAATTGTTGGGGCAACTTGTTCTACAGCAATACATAATGAACCCAGAAGATTATATTGTTACCAAGGCATTTTGACTAAGTTCCTAACCAAAAAAATCAACTGATAAGTGGAAGAGACAGCACAGAAATCTAATGAGCATAACTCAAAACATGGAACTCTATGAAGATTGAATGAATAAAGAAACTCGTGGTAGATAGTCTGAGATAATTTCTCATTATTTGGAGAAAGAAGTTGCAAATTTAGAAAGTGGTAGGCTACAGAAAGCCTTGGTGTTATTGGAAACAGTGGTAGCAATATGAACTCGTGGTGTTTAATATACAGACAGGTAAACATAGAACTGAACTTGAAGTTAGTGAGAGATAAAGTAGAGAAGTACAGAAAAAAGTGAAACAAGTCTTTTTTGGAAGCCCAGAAAAGAGACCTGTTTGAAAGAAACAAATTTGTAAGGTGTGTATACACAGATGGGTGGTTGTTGATGCCGTGACTTTGATTGATATCATCTTGGAAAAGGCCATCAAGGACAACAAAGAAACAAAGGGTTAAAGGTTAGGACAGATCTCTGCTCTCTTATCCTGATTTGAAATTAACATGGCTGTCACAGACTCTACCCCCCCTACTCCTTTATTCATGATAGAAAGAACATTTTGAGATTCTTACCATAGCATTCTGGACTCTCAATATCAACAAGACCAGCAAACCAATTGAGGAAAGGAATTTTCACCCAACAGCTGCAGATGTAACTGCCGATTTTATTTCTACAGTATGCTACTTTCTTGCACTTTGCCAATTTAGTCTTACACTCATCAATATCTGATAATCAAGAGAAAAATATGTTTTTAGTCTGACAGAACTATGCCATTTTCTCTTACCCATACAATCTCTATTGCCCAACATTGTTTATAAACGTACAAAATAATATCTGTTCTTGGAGAGGGTGAATCACATTATAAAGATGACAGTCCTCCATAAATTCAACCCAACAGATATCAATTAAAGAGCTACAAGTATTTTATAGAGTAAGACAAGTTGATACTATCATGCAATAATAATCAGAAATACTATGAGGTGGGGACTAACTTAGCAGACATTAAAACATCTTATAAAAGCTTCACCCAAGTAATTATGTTATTAGTTCATGAATAAATAAAAATAGACAATTGTAATCAACTAAAAGTCCAGAAATAGACCCAAGAACACATGGAGTTTTAGAATATGGTAAAGCCAGTGTGGTAGTATATCAAATCTCAGGTGTAAGGACAGAGTACTTTTTTATGATTCCGAGTCATACTTTGTAAATTCAACTTAAAACACACACCCATCAGCAATGGAATAAGTCAGGGTAAGTGAGCACACTGTTAGAAGAGACTTCAGGTGACATGGAAGGGCCACAGTACTTAAATCTGGCTTAATAGTCTTTATATGCCTGTGTCTCTCTGCCCATCAGTATTCTCTAGTGATGGACAAAAGTTGGGGTTCAAGAAAAGAGACCCACAGCCAAAAGTTCCCCAGGGCTCACACTTTTGTTCTCTCTATCCAAAGACTCAGGGACAGATGTACCTGCATAATAGCTGTGCCTCCTGAAATAATCTTCTGAAGAGCAATGGGTTCTATGTGGGCTGTGGGTGTATGTTTGAGGCAGAGAACACATGGACCACAATAGCTTTTTCTAATGAATGATTGAGGTCAAACCTCATCACATCTTTACCTTCACACTCCTCATAGGGCTTAACGAAGTTGCTCCTTCTGGACTCGGGCTGGAATCCATCGTTACAAACACAGTGGGTGCTGTTGTGGCAGGAGGCATAGCCATGGCATGGAGGACAGGAAGCTGCAGAGAACACAGAATTCATTTATTTATTTGCCATTCATTCACCCAAGAAATACTCATTGAACACTTACAATGGGCAGACACTGTGATCAGAAGGATGTTCCCTTGGGAATCTTCTTTGCACACATCCCAGTGATAAATGCAAGTGCTCACAATTCCTGTCCATATCCCACTTCTTCCACTAACACCATTTTTGCCCAATATTCAAAATTTCAACCGCCAGCTCCTATGCTTCTTTCACTAAAAGGTTCTTTGCTCATCACAGGGCAGGTAAGAAATGTCCAACCTCCAGGAGCATCCCCTTTGATCAATGACTGATGGAAATGAGTCTGTAAAACACCCACCTTTGTTATTATTTTAAAAACAGAAAATAATAAGGATTGGTAAGGATATGGAGAACTGGGAAAACTTATGCACTGCTGGTAGGAATGAAAACTAGTATAGGCTCCATGGGACAGTATGACAGATCCACACAAATTAGGAGTTCGAATCATTATATAATCTAGCAATTCCATGTCTGGGTGGGTAAAGTAACTGAAAGAATGATATCAAAGAGACTCATACTTTCGTGTTCATGGCACCATTTTCTTTTTTTTTTTTTCATTTTTCTTTTATTATTCATATGTGCATACAAGGCTTGGTTTATTTCTCCCCCCTGCCCCCACCCCCTCCCTTACCACCCACTCCACCCCCTCCCGCTCCCCCCCTCAATACCCAGCAGAAATTATTTTGCCCTTATCTCTAATTTTGTTGTAGAGAGAGTATAAGCAATAATAGGAAGGAACAAGGGGTTTTGCTGGTTGAGATAAAGATAGCTATACAGGGCATTGACTCACATTGATTTCCTGTGCGTGGGTGTTACCTTCTAGGTTAATTCTTTTTGGTCTAACCTTTTCTCTAGTACCTGGTCCCCTTTTCCTATTGGCCTCAGTTGCTTTAAGGTATCTGCTTTAGTTTCTCTGCATTAAGGGCAACAAATGCTAGCTAGTTTTTTAGGTGTCTTACCTATCCTCACCCCTCCCTTGTGTGCTCTCGCTTTTATCATGTGCTCATAGTCCAATCCCCTTGTTGTGTTTGCCCTTGATCTAATGTCCACATATGAGGGAGAACATATGATTTTTGGTTTTTTGAGCCAGGCTAACCTCACTCAGAATGATGTTCTCCAATTCCATCCATTTACCAGCGAATGATAACATTTCGTTCTTCTTCATGGCTGCATAAAATTCCATTGTGTATAGATACCACATTTTCTTAATCCATTCGTCAGTGGTGGGGCATCTTGGCTGTTTCCATAACTTGGCTATTGTGAATAGTGCCGCAATAAACATGGATGTGCAGGTGCCTCTGGAGTAACAGTCTTTTGGGTATATCCCCAAGAGTGGTATTGCTGGATCAAATGGTAGATCGATGTCCAGCTTTTTAAGTAGTCATGGCACCATTTTCACAACAGCCAACAGTAGAAGCAACCCAGTGGTCCATTGATGGATGAGAGAACAAACAAATGTGGTACACCCATACAACAGAGTATTATTCAGCCTTAAAAGGAAGGGAAATTCCAGCATGTACTCACTGAAATAAGCCAGTCATAAAAGGAAAAAGGTTGTGTGATTCCACTAGCATAAGGTCCCTAGATCAGTCAAATTCATAGACACAAAGTAGAATGATGAGTGTCAGGGACTGAGAAGGGGAATGTATAAAGATGTAATTTAAGAAGATGAAAAAGTCTGATCATGGTTGGTGATGATGGATACCAAACAATGTGAATGCCACTGAAATGCACAACTGACAGTGCTTAAAGGGAGAACTGTGATATATTACCACAATTTAAGAAATGACAATTTTTGTGGCTCTGATGATCAAACACAAGGTCTTGCACATGCTAGATAAGCACTCTGCTACTGAGCTACACCTCCCTAAAAAAATTTAAAACAGCTTCCTTATCCAGTAGGGGGAACAATTCTAAGCTGAAAGTTCAATATTTTGTCCAATACTTCTCCCAAAGGGTCAACTTTCAGTTACCCACTGTCAACTTGCTCAATAAGGGACCCTGCATTTGTTCATCCATTTTCTATGCTACTTGACACTCCCAGATGATACTTTCTGAGGTCACCTCCAAGATAAATGACTTGCTCTCAGGGTCTGCTTCTGGGGACCAAACCCAAGACCTGGGCTAAAAGCAACACATTTCCCAGAATGAATTAGGACTTTTGGAAAAAAAATCAGAGTCCAGCACCTTGTGCCAGCTTCTCCTCTACAGAAGCACTGGTCAAGTGTGGGCAATGTCAGTATCTTTTCATAGGAATATCATGAGGATTAAATGTAATGGCATGTATGATTTGCTCAGCTAAGTTGATAAGGAGGAGGAAGAGGAAGAGAATGAGGACGATGGCAATGACAATGGTGATGATGATGATGATGATAGAGAAGGAGGAGGAGGAGATGGTGGAACCTCCATTGGGATAGCCAAAGAATAGACAAAATGAACAAGGGACTCAGTCCTCTCTCACTTGAAAAGACAGCTTTCCTGTCTCTGAAGAAAGAGTCTAGATACCAATTTCCTTTCCCTTGGCCTTTGGCCATCGAAAGCTCACCTCCAGAATTCTTCACTTCAGATCCTGACAAAACCAGCAAGACACTGAGAGCTGGAAAATAAAGAGGAGGAAATAGTTAACAGGAGGATCCCCTGGGGCTTCATATGGACAAGTTATGGGCTTTTCCTCTCTACAATGACAATGACTACTGCCACACATAGCAGCTTCACTATAGATTCCCCAGGCAGGCTATAAACTGAAGGAGAATTGTATAATGCTGAAGAATGAAAAGTACATCATATCACATCATACTCACTGTGGGTCCCAGTTTCTGAAAACCTACAGGCTGGCTCAGCTTTTCTTCCCAGGCTACCACCAAAAAGCCAAGTAGACAATTTCCTTTCTATATTAAGCAGTCTCTATCCTTTCAGGCCTCTAACACCACCCTTACCAATAGAAAAATCATGGATTCTAGTAGCCACATTTTTAAACATACAAAGAGATGTGGATGAAATTAATACCAATAACATGTTGTATGCAACTCCAAATAGTCAACATTTTTCATTTCAACATGTAACATATATAAAACAAATTATTCAAGAATTACATACATTCCTACAATTTGAGAAGATGGAAACTAGTGCTACCCACTGATCCCTAGCCTGTCTGGGATAGACTAAGAAGAGCTAGAGAGATTTCCTTTTTATATCATACTGTTATATTTACATATATTTTTCTATTTCTTACAATTTATTTTTTCTGATTCTTTCTTATTTTATTTTTGATTTATCATGCATTACTAACATGATGGGGTTTCCTTGTGATGATTCCATAGATGTGTACAGTGTACCTTAAAAAAAGTTCACCCCCTCCATTATATTCCTATAACCCTTCTCCATCTTCCCACCTCTTTCAAATAGTGTTTGGTGGATTTCATTATGCTGTCTTCATATGTATTTATTCATCCTACTTCCATCCTCTTCACCCATCAGTATCCTTTCTTCCCTTCCCTCCCCACTTGGTGTCCACCTCCAGACAGTCCCCAGACACATTCAAGTCCCAGCAGCAGCAGCAGCAGCAGCAGCAATAATTTTAGTTTGAGGTCCCACAAATGAATGGAGAAAAACTGAAACCATTTCTTCTAAAACCAGGAACAAGATCAGGTTTCCACTATCACCAATCTCATTCAGTATAGTGCTCAAATTCTTAACTACAGTAATAAGGCAAAGGAACACATAAAATGGACACAGATAGGAAAGGAAGAATTCGAATTATCCCTGTGTGCAAATAATGTGATCCTACACTTAAAAAACTCAAAGTCTCCACCAGTAGACTCTTACATCTGATAAATACATTAGGCAATTTTGCAGGATACAAAATCAATATATAAAATCAGTAGCTTTTCTATACAACAATAAATTTGCTGAAAAAGAAGTCAGGAAAGAAATCCCATTCATAGTAGCCTCAAAAAACCACCTAGATATAACCTTAACAAAAAATGTTAAGAACTCTGCACAATTAAAAGCTAGATCACCAAAGAAATAAAGTGTAGAAAACACTAGAAGATAAAGACCTTCCATATTCATGGACTGGCAGAGATAATATTGTTTTAAAAGGCCATATTACCAAAAACAATATTCAATTTAAATGCAGTCCCCATCAAAATTCCAGTAACATCCTTCACAAAAATAGAAAAAGGAAACTTAAAATTCATATGGAAACACAAAAGACTGTGACTAGCCAAAGCAATACTAAACAAGAACAATACTGGAGGTTTCAAAACACCTGACTTCAAACTATCTGCAGAGCCACAGTAACAAAAACAGCAGGTACTGGCTTGAAAACATGCATGTAGACCAATGGAACTGAAGAGATCCAGAGATAATCCCATGCAGCTATGGCCATTTAATTCCTGCCAAGGGTGCCAAAAATATACATCAGAAAAGACAGTTTCTTTAGCCACTTAAAAGTGGTCCTAAGTAAACTGGATAACCACATGTAGAAGATTGAAACTTGATGCCTATCCCTTACCCTACACAAAAAAATTAACTCAAAATGGATCAAATACCTCAATGTAAGACCTAAAACTTTGACACTACTGCAGGAAAACATATGACCAAAGTATACTATATGCATTTATGGAAATGTCACAATGAAACCCTTACTTTGCATGATTAATATATGATAATAAAAAGTTAAAAGAATTACATTCTTTTTGTGTGTATTGCCTTTGCAACCTAGTCTGTATTTTGAATGTGTAGCACATCTCCACTCAGAATGGCCACCATTCTGGTAGTGAGAAGGCACACATAACTGATGGCTGTGGTATTTGATGGGGAAAGTTTGACCTCTGTGACTATGCCTTCTTCTGCAGTAAAGGAGATGTGAACATCACAGGCCATGAGGATCCCAGGAGTCCACTTACTATGGCAAACTTGCAATGGATGATCCATTTATGCTGCTGTGTTGTTCTATAAAAGTTTCATCATAAAGTGGGGATGAACTCAGAAATGCAGAAGTCTGTTCTAGCTATCACTTCCAGAGCTATCTACTGTCGGTCCTTCAAGGCAGATAGGCTGGCAATGACCAGCCACCTGAGGAGTTTTTCTTATCCCTTTCATTGCAAGCTGGCTGTATTGGAATTGTTGTTAAAACATGGAGACATCTACCTTTGGAAACAACATCAGCTCTAAAATGGTAGAGATGTGTAAGATAATATTTAGGTAATTTGGATTTGAATCATGCCCATGGTCAATTTGGATTATCGAAGAACCTGAGAAGGCCACCTGAATAAGACTAGGCTGACCTCCTTCCTCCTTCCTGTTAGGAAAACGCCGCACACTGCACACAAAGGAGGCTCACGAGAGGTATCTCATGTCCAAAGTTTAATAAGCAGGCGGGCTGGCCGAGAGAAAATGGTGCAGCAGCTTCTCTCAGCGGGTCTGGCCTTAAGTAGCATGTTGGAGAAAGCAAGGGCTAGGGACGGACAAAGGAAGGTGGCAGGAGATAAGGAACAGTGGGCTTTGTTCTGCAAGGGGTGAAACCAGCTGCAGCTTAGGCTGCAGAAGGGGCAGTTCTTATCACTGCCTACTACGTCAGTCTTACTGTGCTCAACATTAGGACAGAGACATTTTATTTAAAGGCTTACAATATCAATGAGTCATATGGGCATTTTTGTACAACAAAAGCACTCAAGCATAAGCACTTTTCCTGTGAATTCTTTTTCCCACAAAAATAAATATTACTTGATTCTTTAGGGCAGGAATAGGCAGACTATGAGGCTATTTTTGGAATGGTCTTTGAGCTAAGAATGGTTGTACATTTTTAAAAGCCAAAAGAATTAGCCACACTAACCAAAAGAAAGAGAGAGACGAACCAAATTAACAAAATTATGGAAGAGAAAGGGGATAGCACAAATACCCCTGAAATTCAGAGGACCATAAGGGAATAATTCAAAAACTTATTCTAATATACTGGAAAGTTGGAAGAAATGAGTGAATACCTAGATATATATGACCTACCAAAATTTAGCTATGACAAGCAGTGAAGTTGAAGAGTCTCCTGACAAAGTGTGGAACTAGATGGATTCACTGCTGAATTTTACCAGAACGCTAGAGAAAAACTAACACCAATGCTCCTCAAACTATCTCATAAAATAGAAAGGAAAGGAATGTTATCAACTCATTCTATGAAGCCAGTGTTACCCTGACACCAAAACCCAATAAAAATATACACAAAAAAAATTCTAAGCCAATTTCCTTCTTCAATGTAGATGTGAAAATTCTCAATAAAATACTTGCAAACCAAATTAAACGACTCATTAAAAATATCACACACCATAATCAAGTTAGTTTCATTTCAGGGATGCAAGTTTGGTTCAACATATTCAAATCAATACATGCAATACAGAATGACCGTGTGATCCTGATGGGCAGGATCCTCAGCATGTATCTGCAGGGATGAAAGTCAGCATACAATAGACACCTGCACACCGCATTCATCACAGCACTGTTCACAGTAGCCAAGCTCTGGAATCAGCCTAGGTGCCCATCAATGAGTGAAACAAATTTATTCAGTCATAAGGAAGAACAAAATTGTCATTTACAGGAAAACAGACGGAACTGAAGATCTGAATGTTAAGTGAAATAAGCCAGACTATGAGAGAAAAAAAATCACATGTTCTCTTTCATATGCAGAATCTAGACCTTAAAATGAATTAAAGGAGTGTAAAATGGAGACTGTTTCCAAGTGGGAATGAGAAGGAGCGGGACAGAAAGGGCCAAGGGGATGAATATAACTGAAATAGCTTATATGTACATATGAAAATAGAATAATGAAACCTATAAAACTGTTTTTTAAAGGGGGCATATAAGAAAGAGTAAGAGAGGGGGTGAATTTGATCAAAGTACATTACATGAATGTATGGAAATAACACAATGAGACTGGGCGTAGCAGAGCATGCCTGTAATCTCGGCAACTCAAGAGGCAGAGATAGGGTGAATCACAGTTCAAATCGAATGTGGGAAAAAAAGTTATCAAGACCCCTTCTCAGCAAGCAAGCCAAATGTGATGGCACATGCTTATAATTCAGCTATGTGGGAGGCATAGGTAAGAGGATGAGACCAGCCACTGGGAAAGTGAGACCCTATCTGAGAAATAACTAAAGGAAAAAAGGCTGGGGACATGGCTCAGATGGTAGAGTGGCTGCTTAGCAAAAAGGAGGCCCTCAGTACAAACGCCAGTACCACCAAAAAAGAAAACTACAATGTAACAACTTTGTACAATAATATATGCTAATGAAAGATTAATTAACTGATTAAAGTTATAAAAATCAGAAGAATAATTTTATGACACATTAAAACTCTATGCATTTTCTTTTTGGTTTTTTTTTGGCAGAACTGGGGATTGAACTCAGGGCCTTCTATTTACTAGGCAAGCACTTGAGCCATCCCCCAGTCTTTTTCCTTTTAGTTTGTTTTTCAGGTAGGGTCTGGCACTTTTGTCTGCCACCTTCAGATGTGTCTCCTGAGTAGCTGGGATTACATGCATGTACCACCATGTCCAGCTTGTTTTTTGAGATAGTGTCTCACTGACTTTTTTTTCCCAAACCATCTTTCTCCACCACTTGAGCAGCTGGAATTACAGGTCTATACCATGCATGCCTGCCCTTGTGGCCTTTCCTATGTCTATGCCTATCAATAAAAATTTATTGACACACAGGTCTACAGAGGCTTCTTTGCTCTGAATGCTGAATGGGGATTTTTATTGATTCTTAAGATCAATAAAAGCCCAGAGCATAAGAGTGAATAGGTCCAGGTCATAATAACATTCTGAGCTACAGTGTAGCAGAAACTGGAAGTGTGCCCTTAGCCTACCCCAGAGAGGGTTCCTGTCTGAAGACTTACTTTCTCTGGAGGAGACCATGTTTTGCAGCCCAGTGGAGGCAGGGCAGAAATGCCTGGCAATTACCCTCTCTTGGGGGTTTTCAGTAGTTTCACAACGCATAGTAACACATCCCTCATCAGTTCCTCACCCTGCCATGATAACATCGTCTGCTTCCTCTTTTGTGCATCCTGAGGTCCCCTCCCAAATAAAGTACTTCAACACATGTGTTTGTCTCTGTTCTTTTTTCCGTTATTTCTTGTTTTGAGCTGCGTTGAATCCACATACAGTCATAAGAAAACTTAAGCTGTGTAAACACACTGCACAGTATAACAAGTAGGATAGTGTTGGTACAATCAGGATGAAGCTCATTTCTGTGGCCATAGTATACTTTATACCACCCTTGCAAAGCCAAACCCACTTCCTTCCCCTCCTCCACCCTCTTCCTAACTTCTTGCAATTACTAATCTGTTCTAAAGTTTATTATTTCCTCATTACAAGGAAATTATGTACATAGAGACATAGATTTGTGGGTTTGTCATTCAGCATAATTTTCTGTACATTCTTTCAGGTTATTGTAGACATCAGTAGTTTGTTTCTTTTCATCATTGAGTGGTATTCTTTGGTACCAATGTAGTAAAGTCTTCAACTGCTTGCTCATTCAAGGATATCTGCTCTGTTCACAGTTTAGACACACAGGATTTTGTGTGAATGTAACTCTTTGTGTCCCTAGTATAAATGCCAAGTCATGTAATTATTAGGTCTAAGGTCAGATGTGTGTTCTGGATTTTTTTCTAAGAAATTGCCAAACCTTTTCCCGAGTGTCTGTACCATTGTATATCCCCACTAGCGATGTGTACATGGGCAAGTTTATTTGAATGCTCTCCAGGAATTGATGTCACTGTTTTTTATTTTATTAATTCCAGTAGTTTTTCAGTTTTAATTTGCTCTTTCCAAGTGGCCAAGGATTTGAAACACTTTTCCATGTGTTTATCTTCTGTATATCCCTTTTTGTGAAATGTCTTTTCAAGCCTTGTTTAATTTTCAAATTGGACTTTTAACTGAGTTTTGAGAGTTCTAATATTTGTTAGCTACATATCATGCAAATATTTCCCAGCCTATAACTTGTCTTTCATCTTATTAACTGAATCTTTTGCAAAAACAAAGGTTTTGCTTAAGCGTTAAAGTCTAATTTATTATTTTTTTCATTTACAAATCATGTTTTGGTATCATTTCCTGAACACTTTATAGTTCTAGACCCTGAATTTTTTTTCATTTTTTCTTAAAAGTTTTGTAGTTTTATATTTTGCATGTAAATCAGTGACTCTTTTTGAGATTATTCTTAGTAAAAATGTCAGATTTAGATCAAGGTTTGGGGCTGGTGGAGTGGCTCAAATGGTAGAGCACCTGCCTAGCAAGTCCAAGGCCATTAGTTCAACTCCCAGTGCCACCAAAAATAATAATAATAGATCAAGGTTTGGTTTGGTTTGAATTTGTTGGCCATGGGTTTCCAATTGTTCCAGCACCATTTGTTGAAAGGGTTATCTTTAGTTCTGCTTTGGAAATCCTAACCTAGTATCTTCAGTACAATAGCTTAATAGGATAGGCACATGCAGATATTGTGGGACAAAGTGACAAACTTAGTGGAGCAAAAAGACCTAGGAGAATCTTTTTTCCACTTACCTGAGAACAGGGGCAGGCACCATCTTCCCATAGCTCTGATACACCAGGAACAAGAAGCTGAGAATCTTTCTCAAGCAAGAGCAGCAAGAGTTCCTGGAGTGGAGAAGGCCCACGAACACCACCTCCTGAAGATCAAAGAGCTTAGAAGTCACGTGAGCAATGCATGTCAAACCCACCCGTTTATTTGCTTGCTTTCTTTTTTTGATGGGACTGCGGTTTGAACTCAGGGCTTTGTGCTTGCAGGTGCTCTGCCACTTGAGCCTCACCTCCAGTCCCAAACCCTTTTATTTCTGCCTCTTTTGACCCAATAATTCCTCTGGGACACTTACCTGAAGGAAAAAAAGTGTTACAAGATAATCATAATAGAGATGGTTAGGAAAAGAGTCTGCCAACCAAAAATGGCAAATAATAGATCCATCAGCAGAATATTCTGCTGGAATTTAAAAATCTGGTCTACTGCAATTAGAAAAATTCATACTGCAGGAAACTCCATATCACAATCTAGCCAGATTCTTTTTTACATGCTATCATTTGCTTTCTAATTTTTAATTTTAATTTTTAATTTTTAATTAAATTAAATTAATTTTAATTTTTTCTAATTTTTCACTCTTCATCACATGCATAGTTATGTGATGTTTTGATGTGTGTTTACATAGTAAGATGATTAAATCAAGAAAAGGAACACATTCATTATCTCACATACTTATCATTTTTATGATGAGAACTTTTGAAATCTACTCTTTTCACAAATTTGAAATACACAACATATTGTCATTAACTATAATCACCATGCTGTGCTGTAGATCTGGAAATCTTATTTCTCCTGTCCAGCTAAAATTCCTAACCTTTACCCACATCCCCCCTTTCCCTGTCCTGTCTCGTCTCATTCTTAGTAATCACCATTCTACTCTCTACTTCAGTTTGATCTTTTCTTCATAAATAAATACAAATGTAAATAAATAAAATATCAGATAGACAAGGAACCAATTTTTATAAGATTTGGAAACAAATCAACCCACTGCAGTGTTTTAATAAGCCAAAATCAAGCAACTAATCAAGTCTGGATGATTCATTTGCAAGAAGGACACTGCCATGATTGATGCAAACACCCTGGTCCCTTATCTCTCCTGGATGCACAATCTAACTGAGTGATCACTTTTGAGTCAGCCCAGAACACCGTCCTGAGCTGGTAATAGGAACAGGAGACAGTGGAATCAGCAGCAGAGAGGTAGCAGTGGCAAAATCAGCTGCAGTGGCAAAAAGGTGACTAAAGAGCCCCAGAGAGTGACTGGGAACAGGGAGCTGAGAAAGCAGACATGAAAAAGGCTGTGAAGTGGTTAAGATAAGAAACTGTGGACCCCAGCCACTGAAAGAGTGCCAGGGAACTGCCATGACCTCAGAAACAGGGATGACAAGAACTGTAACACTAGCTACCATGGGTGTTAATGATTTCAACACCCAAGCCCCTCCTGGAGCTAAAACTCTAGCAGGCACTTCCTGCTGCTGCCACTCACTGCTGCTGGAAGCTGAGGATTACATTAGCTGCCATATGCTAGGGCCACAGGTGATAAAAGCCCAGAGCAATAAGCTTGCAACTTGAGTACCTAGAGCCAAAAGTCTCTGGAGAAATATTCCCCTGCTTCTTAGGAGCTATAAGCCTCTGGATCTGCCAGTCCAGTGTCTAAGCCTTGACAGTCAAGAGCCAGGAACTCCAGATGCTTAGCAGAGCTTCTCCTTGTCTGTCCAGCACTTCTATCTGGGTAGAGAAAAAGGACCCCAGCCAGCTTATTGGTAACACATTGTGATTCTGTATTTGCATAAAATATTTGTGGAAAATGCCTAAGAACCTCATAATATCAATTGCCTTTGAAAATGAGTGGCTGAAATCTGGAACAATAAAGTTTCACATTTCATCACCTGCTTTGCATTTAAATCACATTGATGTTCTTTATACTCAAAAATTCATTTCTAGAGGAGAAAATAGCAGGAATATATGATATCACTATAAATGAGCCTTTCAAAGACTTTTCAAAGCATTGGTGTAAGTGTTGGCTTTATGGATACTGTTTCACAATTTTAAAGTGTTCTCCTAAGATAGGGTCAATGGACAATTGGGGTTTAAGATTAAATTTCCTGTGTACATTAGCCAAAATAATTTGAGATAATTTGCTCTAAAATCTGTTAAACCATTCAAGAAGTGCTAAAGGCATAAGATGGAGATGTACCTCAGAAGTTGAAGGAAATAGTTAGTACACTGTAAGTGGGAAGACAGCATTTGAATGCATGCAGTGGAAATAATTTTATATCATGCATAAAAACAATGTTGTAGGAAGGAGGCTATTAAAATAGAATAGAAAGTGATTGTGATATAATATTAAGATAAAAACAGATTATAGATCAAGATACAGAATAGCACACTTAAAGAAATTACATATATTAATAGGAGGATGATATTATGAGTGAGTTTAGATATCTTTTTATTTAATTATAATTCTAAAACTTATACATTGCTTTAGCAGTAAGAAAATAATAGCAACTGACCTGGGGGTATAGTTCAGTGTTGGAGTGCTTGCCTAGCAATTGTAAGACCATGGGTTTGAGCCCCAGCACCACAGAAAGGAAGAGAGGAAGAGAGACAGAAAAAAGAGAAAATAGCAATGAAGTATTTGAATAAAAGAGTAGTCAAAATGACAAATGACTTTAAGTGGTTCCCCTTGGCAGTTCCATCCTTCTCTACTGACCTGTTTTGATCCTTCTACTTGGAAGCCATCAAGACCTGCCTCTGTGTTCTGTGTTCATGAACCAGTACTTTCTCAAAGCATCACTCACTGTTAGGTGCAGGTCATAACCAGTTACATGGCATCATAAGTCAGTGTACAGGAAACCCTTAGTTTGAATTCCAAATCTCCAGCTGCAAATCGAGTGGTTCTGAGATTGTGATTTTGCCACCTAGCCTTTGTTTTCTTACCTGCAAGAAAGAGCACATACTTTAACCAAGCATTGTGCTGATTCAGTGAGATGTTCTTCCTTAACACATGCACCTGCTTAGCACAAAGCAAGTGCAGAATAAAGTTAACTGTGAGGAGGACAGGGAATGATGATGGTGATGGTGGTGTTAGTGGTGACAGTGAACATAAGCACTATGGCAGTGATGGGTGATGATGGTAATGGTGGTGATGGTCATGATCATGGTGAAGGTAGAGGTGGCGGTGAGTTGATGGTGAAGGATGTGATGAAGCTGGCAGTGGTGATTATAGTGATGACTATGATAGCGGTGATGATGGTGTGTCCATGATAGTAATGGTGAAGGTGTTTATGATGATATGGACTATGATGATGGTGAGGAGCGAGAGTGGTGCTAATGGTAAGGATGATAGTAGTATTATGGTGTATGTGACAGTAATGATGGTGGTGATAGTCTTGGCTATGGTGATGATTTCAGTGAAGGGGAAAGGTTGGGTCAGATAATGATGGTGGTGATGATGGAAGATGTGACAGTACTGGGCAATGGTGGTATTTATGATGATTATAATGATGATGATAGCAGTGGCATGGGATGATGGTGAGGGTGGTGGTGATGGTGGTGGTGATGGCGGTGGCAGTGGTAGTAGTAGTGAAGGGGAAGTGTATGGTTATAGTGGTGGTGATTAGGGTGGTTGTGGCTGTAATGTGTAATATGATGGTGATGGTGGTGAAAATAATGGTCAGGGAGCTCTCTCATACCCATTCCCTGACTCCAATTGTAAACATGACTTTTCATGCTAAGGACTGATCCCTTATTCTCTGATAAAAAGAATTCACAAGAGCTCTATGATGCCCCCACAAGGAAAAAGTAGTCATCTGAGAAGGTGTATCCATGAACCCCCTTCATTTTGACAATCTTCAACAAGCTAGCTGCACATTGTGTGTTAGAATTTTGCATGTAAATCAAATTTTGCCACAGATACTTCTTTTACCCTTTGTATTACCACTTCCTAAAATTGTTTGCAGAGCATCCACCATGGGCCAAACACCTTATTATTTTTATCTATCATGTCATTAAAGATTATAACAATTTTTAGGAGAAGAAGTGGAGGTTAAAAGATATTAAGTCATTGTGTCAAGATCATGCTGTTAACACCACTAACAACAGGTGTTGGCGAGGATGCAGGGGAAAAGGAACCCTCTTACACTGCTGTAAACTAGTACAAACACTCTGGAAAAACATTTGGAGGCTACTTAAAAAGCTAAACATTGATCTATCATTTGATCCAGCAATACCACTCTTGGGGATATTCCCAAAAGACTGTGACACAGGTTACTCCAGAGGCACCTGCACACCCATGTTTATTGCAGCACTATTCACAATAGCCAAGTTATGGAAACAGCCAAGATGCCCCACTACTGACGAACGGATTAAGAAAATGTGGTATTTATACACAATGGAATTTTATGCAGCCATGAAGAAGAACGAAATGTTATCATTCTCTGGTAAATGGATGGAATTGGAGAACATCATTCTGAGTGAGGTTAGCCTGGCCCAAAAGACCAAAAATTGTGTGTTCTCCCTCATATGTGGACATTAGATCAAGGGCAAACACAAGAAGGGGATTGGACTTTGAGCACATGATAAAAGCAAGAGCACACAAGGGAGGTATGAGGATAGGTAAGACACCTAAAAAACTAGATAGCATTTGTTGCCCTCAACACAGAGAAACTAGAGCAGATACTTTAAAGCAACTGAGGCCAATAGGAGAAGGGGACCAAGAACTAGAGAAAAGGTTAGATCAAAAAGAATTAACCTAGAAGGTAACACCCATGCACAGGAAACTAATGTGAGTCAACTCCCTGTATAGCTATCCTTATCTCAACTAGCAAAAACCCTTGGTCCTTCCTATTATTGCTTATACTCTCTTTTCAACAAAATTAGAGATAAGGACAAAATAGTTTCTGCCAGGTAGCGAGGGGGGAGGGGCGAGAAATGACCCAAACATTGTATGCACATATGAATAAAAATAAATTTAAAAAAGATCATGCTGCTATAAGTGTGCAATAAAGAAGGTGAATATGGTTGATGTACTTTCTATACAGGAATGAATATAGACTTTTTAAACCTGTTTAAATCACCATAAGAAGGGGACTAAGACAGAAAGGAGAAAAATAGAAAGGATGAACCAATTCAGGTTATAATACATATATTCATGGAAATGTCACAATGAAATTCCCCATATAGCTACCTTAAACAAAATATGTTTTTTTCCAAAAACAGAAAATAGGGATGTAAAACAGGTACTATATGGAGAATTGGTACTAGTGGGAGTGGGGAAGGTATAAGAAAAGGGTGTAGGAGGTTGAATGTGGTGGAAATAGTATGTACACATGTATGTAAATGGAAAAATGAGACTTGTTGGAACAATTTGAAGAATGGGATGGGGGAATAAAGGAAAATGATGAGGAATGAATTTAACTAAGATATATTGTAAGCACTTTTTGTAAATGTCTTGAGTTCAAGATCATGCACAATCACTTCACCATGAGCATACATATCAGTGTCTCTTGGGAGCTGGACATGTAACATAAATAACTAAGGCCATTGATGTGAAGAAGATGAAACTGGGGAAACTGGATACAATACGCTCTATAACTATCACACACACACTCTCTCACACACACACACACTTTTTCCTTAAACACAGAACTATGAGACACCAGCTTACAATCTCTGCATAAAAGAGTATTACTTAATTGAGAATCAGACTGTGTAAGCCCTGGTGGAAAATTTATGGTTGATTACATGCTCGGTGCTGCCCCTTCTCTCAACCTTGCTTTAGACTCTTTCCCTTAAATCTTTATCATTTGAGCTCACCTTAAGCCCCTTCATGCATTACATGCTTTATCTGGAGACATTCACACCCACTTTTTCCTTAAGAACAGGACTATCAGCCCTTCACCACATCTCTTAAGTGTGCTAAAGAATCCCACTGGGTTGCACACTTCTACAGAACACCACACACATTCCTTGCCCAAGCAGAAGTAGAAAATGAACATGAGACAGTTGCCCACATAACAATGTTCAAGAAATAAAGCCACAGGATACAAAAGGAATTCTTGAATATTATCCAGAGACAGAATATTTTTCTACACCCAAGATCAACGGTGAAGCATCTACCATTTTCTATGGGAAACTCTAAGCCAGAAACTAAGCTACTTACCCTAAAGTTGAGTCCTTACTTCTCGCCACATCTGGTACCCTCTCAGTGCTAACAAAAGAGGAAGTATATCAGTACTTATCTTGAGCTCCAGTTTCTCAAGGAATCTTGTGGTTGGGTGAGAAGGCTGAGTTGTTTGTCCGGGTGTTTGCATAATGCAATGTCCATTAGTTCTCTTTTTTCATAGTAATTTAAGTAGTGCAGTACCCAAGTGGGGCCGTATTAAAGTGCATCAGAAAATGAATTTCGAAATGGTGGACAACCAGGTCATAAAGAGGTGCCAACTCCCATCTACACCAAGGAGATGGGTCTGATTTTGAAAAGGCCCCTTTAGTTTAATTCTCTTTTTTTTCTTTGCTGTGCTGGAGATTGAACTAGTAAATCTGTACTAGTAAATGCTGTACCACTGAGCCACACCCCAGCCTTAATTTAATTCTAACTATGCACATGATATATGTGTTTATGGAAATATCACAATGAATCCCATTGATATGTAACTTAATATGTGTTAATAATTATAAAATTTTTAATTAAAAAGTAATTCTTACTGCAATAGTTGAAGGCCAGAGTATGGGAGGAAGTAATCATATTTTCTTCTTACCTCAGGAGACTTCCCTGTGATCACTTTCCCAATTACTACTTTAAGAAAAACTTAAGTACCTACACTCTTGGTCTTTAAGCTAGCCCTACCCAATATAATTACACCAATTTACTTGTCCAATATAATTTGTGACTAGTGTTTAACTCAATGTTGGAAAAATTTTATCCCAGTCATAAATATGTCAAATATCACTGAGTTTGGCCAGTCTAAATACACACCTTGAAATTTATTCTTAGTCTTGGGTATTTATGAAACATGGAGCTATTATTTCTGATGTTAACACCTTGATTTTCATGTTTCTCATTTGTTTTAATAATTTAGTGAATCCACGCCCTGAAGTATTTAAACAATCATCTAGTTGCAGCTGTATATGTAGGACAGCAATCAATCCCTCAGTACAATACTCAAGTGTTTGCTGCATCATATTTTGGCAAATAAAAGAGAGTTTAATCTCTTATGATCAGTTGAAATGGAAAGTACATGAAAACAAAACTGCAACGTCCAAATGCAGGAGAAATTGCTGAAATTCTGAGCATTGTGCGTGCTCATGGCTCAATCCTGCATCTGATAGATGTTTCCACAAATGTCAATCAAGTGTAGTTATTCCCACGTTGACGCTAAGCTTAATCATGTGATTAGCTTTGGCCAATGAAACAAGAATTAACAGGAAATGAAGAAGGCTAACCTGCCAGAGGTCTTGTGGAAGACAATCAAGGCTCATGAACCAGCAATCCCTCACTCTGGTTGCCAACCTGTCAATGCATGACGTGAGAGTGAAGTTGTGTTAATTAATTCATTCATCTGCGTGGCCCACCAACTAGCCATAAACACATGAGAGGCCATCACAGACCAGCCAAGCTAGCCAAACCAGAAGAAATGTTTAGCCCAGCTACACAATCATGAACTAAGTGAAATCATTATGCTCTGTAAAAAAGCGGGGGGCAGTTTATTACAGTCAAGGTTAATTGACACACTTCTCAAAATGGAGTGGAAGGAATTCTCTGCATATATGTTGTCAAGAATGGTATTATTTGACATCACCACCCACTTATGACTGATTGAAACATTGATTGCATTTGGCTACCAATAACCTATGAGGTACATTACCCTTGGAACAGTTGCCTATGTTGGAGGCTTGCTGAACAATCCATTCAGCTTGTTTCTCTTGGAAAATTTGACTTCAAGGCCACAGAGAGGGACACAGACTAACAGTAGAGTGACCCATGGGCCAACGAGGAAACTAACACATAGAAAATGCAGAAGCCATCAGACAGGACAATCTGTGATGGGCTTCCTCTGTTTTTCTCTACTTTGAGTAACTCACTAGGCCTCAGTACAACAGAAGGCTGTCACCAGCATCTGTCACAAACACAGAATTCCAGTCTATTTTCCAAATCTGGGTAGCAAATAGTCTATAACAGTTTCAAATTTGTCAGTCACCTCTTAAAATCTAATAAGCACATAACAAGTCTCTTTGGGCAACTTGGAAAAATCTCTCCACTCTTCTCCATCATAATTTATACATTAAGAGATCCTTTATTACATTTTGGCAGTACTTGGGTCTGAACTTGGGGTATTATGCTTCCTAGGCAAGTTCTGTACCACTTGAGCCACATCCACATGCCTTTTTTTGCTTTAGTTATTTTTCAGATAGGGTCACATACTTTTGCCCTGGCCATCCTTGGACTGCTATCCTACTACCTCCACTACCCAGGGTGGATCACAGACCTATGCCACAAATGCCTGGCTTTCTAACATAGGGTCTCGCTAATTTTTTTCAGGAACAATTACCTGCCTATCTCCCTCTCCCTCTAAGCAGCTGGGATTACAAGTGTCTGCTACCATGCCTGGCCCTATGTTATCCCTTAGGATGTGTATCATTTGTCTCTTTATTTGCTGTATCTTGCAGCAGTGTTTGGCCAATGGCAGTCTAGAAAGAAAGAAGAGGACTAGAGGAGCAAAATATTATTGGTGTACATATTTACCCAGCTCCTGTTCCCTTCAGAGACTACACATTTGAGCACTGGTTGAATTCTGCAGGCTAAAGTATCTTCCAGATTCCAGTATCTCTCCCTTCTCTTACCTGCTTCAAGCCAAGGAGTGATAAGAGTCCACCCACACACATTGTGAGATGCAGAGTTCACATCATCCTTTTTTGTTGGTTTCCTATACCCCTACACACTCCTAAATAAATACTCCTGTCATTGAGCCCTCCTCATTTAAGTCATTTGACTGAGCCAGCTGCTTCTTCTGACTAATACATCCCATGGAAATGAACTAGACCTACTCATTCTAGCCAGAAGCTAGAGACTTTTGTTATCAACTATCATGTAACAGAAAGCCATGGTGCGGCACTCCACCCTGCAAGAACAGGGAGGAGGAGTCAGGTAGAGTCCTGTGCTTCTGTCCTATTAAACAGCAGTCTAGACTTAAGGCTATCATGGCCCTGCTTAAAGACTCACACAAATGCTCTTCCTTGGGGTGTGGCTCAAGTGGTAGAGTGCCCGCATAGCAAGCATGGGGCCCTGAGTTCAAACCCCAGTGCCACCAAAAAAACAGTTCTTTCTTACCCACTCACTGAGAATGAATGAAATCTTTTCTGTATATTATCACCCTTGTTTCAAACAAACCTCTTTTTTTATTTTATTTATTTTATTTTATTTTATTTTTAGGACTTTTTTGTTGTTCATTTATTCACATGTGCATACATTGTTTGGGTCATTTCTCCACCCTGCCTCCCTCTCCTTTTCTCTCTTCCCTCTCCCCCACACTTTCAAGCAGAACCCATTCAGCCCTTATTGCTAATTTTGTTGAAAAAATAAGCATAATAAGGAAGACAAAACGTTTTTGCTAGTTAAGGATAGTTATACAGAAAGATTCCTACTATTTCTTTCATGTACCCATGTGTTATGACCCATGTTGATTCAACTCTAACTGATCTTTATGTTGGTTTCTGATCCCCTGCTCATGATAACCTGTCGTTTCAAGGTTTCTGTATTAATTCCTCTGGAGTGTGGACATCAAACGCTTTCATGTTTTGGGTTTTCTACTTATTCTTGTATCTCCCAGATGTGCTCTCCCCTTGTCTTGTAATCCAAGTCCAACCACGTTGCTGCATTTGCCCTAGACCTAAAGTCCGCATATGAGGGGGAACACACTATTTTTGGTCTTCTGAGCCTGGCTGACCTTGCTCAGAATGATGTTCTCCAGTTCCATCCTTTTACCTGCAAATGATAAGATTTCATTTTTCTTCATGGCTGAGTAAAATTCCATTGTGTACAAGTACCACATTTTCTTGATCCATTCATCAGTAGTGGGGCATCTTGGCTGTTTCCATAACTTGGCTATTGTGAATAGTGCTGCAATAAACATGGGTGTGCAGGTGCCTCTGGGGTAACCTGAGTCGCATTCCTTTGGGTATATCCTCAGGAGTGGGATTGCTGGATCATATGGCAGGTCTATGTTTAGATTTTTAAAAAGTCTCCAAATTTTTTTCCAGAGTGGTTGCACCAGCTTGCATTCCTACCAGCAGTGGATTAGCGTTCCTTTTTACCCACATCCTTGCTAACACTTGTTCTTGGTGGTGTCAAACAAACCTCTTATTCCAAGTGTGCTTGATGCCTGAGGAGGTATTAAAACTTGGTCTTGTGCTTTTTATCTCTCTTTCCTCCATAGCTGAAGTCTATTTCCCGTTCCTTTGAATCTGGGTTCTGTAACTTGACTAAGAGGAAGTTATGGAAGAGACTCTGAAAGCAACTGTGCCACTGTTTTCCTTGGACCTTGCTCTTGGGATTTAACTGCTATGTTGGAGGAATCCCTATAGTTGCATGGAGAAACCACTTGGAGGTGTTCTGGACCATACGGGCATCATCTGAAGTCTCAGTCATTAGCCAGTGTCAACCCAGATACACAAGAAATCTTCCCATGACTCCAGTCCCCAACTGGTGCCATGAGGAGAAGAGATTAGGTGTCCCTGCCAAACCATGCCACTATTTCTGCTTGTTGAGCACAGCCTTGTCCTGAGAAAATGTGAACTCCTTTATGAAAGGAAAAAGGGAAAAGTAAGGAGTGGGACAATCTCCAAGGTCATAATGACAACAGAAGCCTTATTGAGTGCTTACTGTATGCTCTGGCGCTGTTCCACAGACATTGCATATTCTAGCTCACTTATCCTTACACCTATTATTAATTCATTCTTCAGAAGGAGATTAAGTGGGCTTCCCAAAATTACACAGCTGGTGAGTGATATAATTGGCATGTATTTGTATTGCCTCATTTTTCTGTTCCTCGTGGCAAAACTCCCTGGAAGAGCTCTCACATCTGGCTCCATCTACCCCTTCATACCTCATTCTCTCCTCAAATTCATGCTGATCAGGATATAGCCTGCACCACTCCAAGGATATTGTTCTCACCAAGGCCACTGTCAGCTCAGCACAGAATGTCTACTTTCACTTGCCTTCTGCGAGCC